ATAATATTGGGAAGTGCTACATTAATAACCTCACAAAGCCCTGCACCAGAAGACTGAGGGCAGTGTCAATTGAGAACCAACATCTCACTCTCTGTACAGTGAGAAAACAAGATCTCAGGACAGACACAAACCAAGAATCTCTGACACACAGAAGATATCCCTGATGAACAGACTCTTCCTAGAGTGGCTCTGATAATAGTAACATGGTTATATACTATCAAAATCTCAGGAGAATATCACAGATATATAAATAAAAAGTTCTCTCTGAAGTAGAAAATGATGAGGAGAAAAATGTAATCTCAGGCCCCCAGCACACCCGGACAAAATGCAGAAGAAGCGAACATAGAAGAAATTGGAAGAGAGAGAGAGAGAGAGAGAGAGAGACAGAGAGACAGAGAGACAGAGAGACAGAGAGACAGAGAGAGAGACAGAGACAGAGAGAGACAGAGAGAGAGAGAGAACTGTATATGTATCTATCTGCCTATAATACATTTATAGGTACATAGATATTTATATATCAATATTTATGAATATATAAGTATACATACACACATAAAAATGTGTGTATATACCTTTCTGTGATAGCTCAGTATTTCCACATCCAAGAACTTACAATGCCTCCATATTGCAGAACATCTATCAGAACATGCAGTATACATTACTAGATTTTTCTTTGCCTCACTCCTTAGAATTCAAAATTATAATATGAATGTAAAGTTAAGTAAACATTTACTGAGAAGAGAATTATAAGACCAGATATGCAACATACTAGGTTTAAATAGCTAAAGATATTTTTCAATGAGAATGATTATTTTAATGTACATTATGCAGAAATCTGTTTTTCAGTTTTCATATGGTTTTATCATCCTCTAGCTTCTGCAGTCCAATAATACCTATTTTGTAAGTTAGATGTTTATGTTAAAAAAAAGTAGTCTGTGAAAATGCAACTGACAAAGGACAGGAGTGTCTAAGACTGGAAATTTTAAAAAAGTATATCTTGAGGTTAAGCTGTCACAAACCAATTTTATCTCACCATGACATGGCAAACTCTGGCCTTTCATCTCTCTCACTGTCACCTCTATAATTATAGTGTCTTTGTTGGATTCTTCTGATATTTTCATACTACGCAACACATGACCATCAAGTTGTGAGGCTCCTGTCTTTATAGTAGGCTGGTGTTAAGTTCGTCCTCCAGCTGTCTCTGAACACAACGAACTGCGGTCAGGGAGACAAACAACATGCAATCAAAGAGCACATCCTTGTAACGAATAGCTGATGCACAGTCCATGTCATGCTGTCAGCCCGTCAGTCATGTCTGTATAAGGCAGATGCCATCTATAACCTGTGAGACATGCACCTATTTCTGAAATTCCCTTCCTTTCATGTCTCTAAATAATGCTTCAGGGCTGGGGAGATGGCTCAGTGGAACAAGCACTTGCCTGGCAAGCGCAAGGGCCTGAGTTCAATCCCCAGTTCTGGAAAAACAAAAAAAAAATGCCTATTTACCTTGCCCTATTGTATTCTTTGAAGTGCTGATTTAGGTCCTGCCTGATAAAAGCATCCTTCTTTGCTCAACTAATCTTCTAAATTTAATTTGTCTAGGGTTTTTCTTTTAACACTAGCTATGTAAAAAATTCTTCCCCAACAATGGCTGTTACATTGCATAATGTCTTCAAATTAGTTGTTTCTTTTGTTCCTATTATTTTGTTTAGTGAAATACCATACTGTCTCTAATGTGCTTTTTATATTATTTTTAATTCTCTTTAAAAAATTAAAAAATATTAAAAATCTCCCTCATACTCTAAGCTCCCAAAGGTGGAATGAAATATATAACATGTTGCTTATAATATCTGATGAAGCCTGGAAGCATATCTATGCAATAAAGGTGCATTCAACACTTTGAATTACAACGATCACATGATGCAAAGACATAAAAATCTATTGTACTGATCATTTCTTTTATGTTTTTAATTTATTTTTTGGTAAAAATGTTTTTTCATAATTTTATTGATAAACAAATAGCAATGAGATAGTTTCAAATCAAATCGCTAGGACAGTTTCAATAATTAACACACTGCATACCTTCTTCTTAGTGGTTAATTGCTGTACAAGATGCGGACTTGATGTCTTATTTACAAACACCATTAGAACAAATCACTCTATTCATTAAGAGAATGTAATTATATATCTATCCTTTTTAACAAGTAAGATTGAAGATTGAAGATTGAATTTGAATAAAAATGGCATACACTTTAAGCTTTTGATATTTTTTTTTGAACCAGGAATTGAACTCAGGCCCTTGTGCTTGCTGGGGAAGCGCTTATTCTATTGAGCCATCTCCCTGGCCCCAACATTTTAATTTTTGATTTCCCTAAAATTATAATTCTGAAAGTTCATGAATAATTCTAAATTAAATTTAAAAACAAAAACTTCACTGCCCAACCAGCCTAAACCTCTTACATTACTTTCAGAACACATAAAAGATATTATATTCTATTAACATGTAAAGCAAGCAGAACAACTATATTCTACCATTTTTCTTAGACCAGCAATGAAAGCAATAAAGTTTACTTTTCTTTTTGTCAAGGACAAAACATGAATGGACATTTATGTTGAGGAATTTATGATATTTATAGCCCCGGCTATGTTGGGATACTGTTTACTATAATTTTATCCTGTTATCCTATATGAAACTATGTTCAAAAATTTAAGTTAAATCTCATTATTCTAGAGACATTTGGGAAAAAGATCCTGTATTAATAATAAAGAATATGATGACATTTAGAATGCATAACATTATTTTTTCTACCATAAATAAAAGCAAGACACATTTTCACTAATGGTCATTTAGGTTGAAAATACCTATTTCCTAACAATCAACAATATTGGATTTGTGTTTATGTTTTGAAGTACTAGGGATTGAATTCAGGACCTTTGTACTAGCTACAAACTCAATTCTTATTTATGTATTTTTCTGAGACAGCTAAGTTGCTAAATTACCCAAGATCATATGACATCTATAATCTATTTGCTAGAATGCTGTGTTTATAACCCTGTGCCACACCACCCTTGGCTTTCTGATCTTTTTCTTGTTGTGGAAGTTCTTTAAATTTTCAGTTTAACATAAAACCTCTGAGAAGACTAAACTTTCACTATTATACAGGTATAGCACTGTATTTCAAAGAAAAAGCAGTATCCAAAATAGTATGACCAATTTATAAAAATTCACTTTATTATTATTTTAATTTTTAAAATTATGTCACTCAGGTTCCTAACCAGTCTAATAAATATGCATTTAATTTGTAGTAGGATTGGGTTTTATACATGAAGTGGAAAATAATTATATGTATTATACATTTTATATTATTATATTAATTGTATGTTATGTGTATTATATTCTACATGTATATATGTTATATTACATAGAGATATTAAAATGTATAGTGATTATCTTACCACATTATTTTAAATAATTCAGGTTTAAAAGCTGGGGTGCTATTATTAAGCATACAACTTTTTATATCAATTATATTTTTATTAGATTTCTGCATTTTTTGTACTATTTTACAAAATAATGTTACTTATTGTTATTTATTTATTTATTTATTTATTTATTTATTTCAGTAGCGGGGATTGAACTCAGGACCCTGTGCTTGACAGAGAAGAGTTTATCCTATGGAGCTATCTCCCTGACCTCTATTGTTATTTAATTCTGTTTGGTGAAATTCTATAAAAAACATTCTGTAGCATTTTTCTCTTATTTTAGTTGCCTGAAGTAGTTTCCATATGTTAAGATCTCTGATAATTTTTTTGGGTCTATGGCAAGTAACCTTAAGTAAAAATGTTAATATGTAAGAATATTGAAATTTCAGTGATTTAAATTTATTTTTAAATTTATACTTGATATATCCTTATCTTGCTGTTCATTTATTTTCTTATATAATATTTTATTGTTTTCTATTAATTTTGTGTATTTGCTGTTTGTTCTGTTTGTCATTTACCGAATTTGTCATTAGCTTGAATTTTATGTCCATGTTTTAATTTCATTATTATTGGTGGCTATTACTAAAAATGAAGGGACTGGGGTGGTGGCTCAGTGGAATAAGCACTTCCCTGGCAAATGCAAGGGCCTGTGTTCAATCCCTGGTTCCCCTCCCTCAAAAAAAAAAAAAAAAAGAATCAAAATTGTTTTAAATAATTCAAAATTATTTAATTTCCAAAATTAATATTTAATTACTTAATTGGCTTCCTTCTATGAAAATTTAGTAAATGTGAGGAAAACAACTTAATCTTAAAGAAGTACTTTTTGAAATCAGAAATGTGTCTTGAGGGGCCTGACAAATAGCTCAGCTGATTAAAGCACCTGCAAGCAGGCTCAGGGGCAGGGGGTTCAATCCCAGGGCCTGGGGTGTCATGCCGGCCTTGCCCTTGGGGCGCGCTGAGACTGCAATTGAGAAGGGGGTGGGGGGGCAGGGTGTTGGGAGCCTGTAATCCCAGCTCACGGAAGGCTGTAAACAGGCCAATCACTACAAGTCTGATCTAGTTGTGAGACCCTGAACACCTGTAGACCCTTCCCTAAAATACAAAACAAAAACACAAGAGCTGGGGAGATAGCTCAGTAGAATAAGCGCTTGCCTGCCAAGCACAGAGTCCTGAGTTCGATCTCCTGGTATTTTAATATACCATAAGACATATATAAAGTTTTAAACAAATTATCTTTATAATTGTCTATATATTTAATGTTTTAATATTGTTTTTCTTATCATCCATGATAAACTCCAATGTAGCAACCTTTAAAATATTTTAAAAGGGGCCAGGGAGATGGCTCAGTGGAATAAGCACTTCCCTGGCAAGCGCAAGACCCTGAGTTCAATCCC